ACCGACGGCTTCCCCTTTCCAGTAACCATTCATAGAATTACTGATATGGCTGAATTAGGTCTATAGATTTTAGTATTTGTTTTCCCTTTTCATTCTGGTTTCCTCTCTCCTGCCTTCTCTTGGATTATTTGAATGCTTTTTCCAGTTCTTTGAGGTTTCGCTCTTGGCAGTTCAGTCTTTAGTACCGCACACACGCATACCTCTTTCTCGGTCTATTCAGAGTCCGTATCGTACCACTTCACTTCCACTGTAGAATCCGCCATCGCTCAGGCCATGGGTCCTTTCCACTCCTCCCACCATTTTGTGCTGTCGGTGTTGTCACATGACCTGAGCCAAAGGCAGACGCTTAAATGACTGAGCCACACAGGCGCCCTTTAACTTTTGCTTTAAAATCATATAGATTTCAAAGAAATGAAGAGACCAGATAGTCTTTAGCAATCTTTCCCCGCTGGATTACCATTTCTTCGATGCAGCCTGAAGTTCCAAGTTTCTCCTGGGATAATGTCCCGAAAGCCCGAAGAACTTCCATTAGCATTTTGTATAGTGTATTTGTGTATTTCTGCCAGTGACAAGTTCTCTTGTCTTTTTACTTGTTTTCACTGGTTTTAGAATTCTGGGGTTGACAGTTTTCTTTCAGCCTCTTGACGATGTTGTTTCGCTGTCTCTGGTCTCCGTTTCTGGAGAAATCCAGGATTACCTGAATCATGGTTGCCCTGCTTGTAATGTGTTGTTTTTGTCAGGCTGCTTTCAAGACTTTATTAAAAAAAATCTTTGCCTCTTTTTTAGACTGGATAATTCCTATTAATATATTTCCAGTGTGCAAAGTCTCTCATCCCCATTCTATTAGGTCTACCAGTGGATCTTTAAAATTGCAGATACTGTTTGTTATTTTCAGTGTTAGAACACCCATTTTGTTAACATCTTCTATTTCTCTGCTAAGACTTGTCAACATTACACAGGTGTTTTCCTTTTACCTCAGTGAGCATAGTTGTAATAACTACTTTAAAGTCCTTGCCTGCTAACTCCAACACTTGGATTTTGTTTTAACGTAGGCTCCACGCCCAACATGGGGCTTGAACTCACGACCCCAAGATCCAGAGTTGCACGCTCTACCCACTGAGCCAGCCAGGCGCCTCCCCCAACACTTGGGTTCTCTTGGTCATCTTGTCTTTTCCCTTAAGAATGAGTCCCATTTCCCTAATTCTATGTATATTAGGTAATTTTGCATTGTGTCCAGATAGTACGTTAACATTGTAGACATTCTGGATTCTGTTATATTCCTCCAAAGAAATGTGAGAGTTCCTGTGGGGATATTTGTATTTGCTAGACTCAACCTGCTGCAGCGGGTGACAGTATAAATCCGGATTGCTTCAGTCCTGCTTGGGGTTGGCCCCACACATCCATAGCCTGGTGGTCAGCTAGAGACTTGGGCTGAATCTATACATGTCACTTGGGGGAAGGGAACTTTCCTGGCACTCTCCGTTCCAGCTGCTGTGGTTCCCTGAGGCTCTGTCCTCTGGTTCTTCAGGCCAGTAAGACAGCTGGTTTTCTACCTGATTTTTGGCTGCCTGGTGCAGTGCCAGAGGCTGCAGCCCACCCTCAGGCTAACACTGTAGAAAAATGAACACACACCAGAAAACTCATCCTGTGGTGGGCTTTTCCTGCAACTTTCAACTCGCCCTCTCCCCCCAAAACCACCTGCTTTTGATCACTCTCCAGAGCCTTCCAGTAGTTTTGGGGTTTTTTTGTTTTTGGTATTTTGTCTAGAATATATAGTTTATTTGCAGGGGTATGGTTGTCTGTTAGAAGCATACTCCACCACACCAGAAACAGAGCTTCTGTATTTTCTTTTTAGTAGACCTAGACCGATTATTTTTTCAGGATTGAAAGGGGGGAACCCTACTCTACTATCCAGGGTAGATGGAAGGAGTCAGAGATCCAGGGACAAAGTCAGAGATGGCCATATTTTATTAGCAAAGTCCAAAGGGCTCCTAATAAAACAAGAGAAGGGATCAGTTGTTCCAGGAGGAAAGGAAACATCTAAAGTCATCTCTGTTGGCCTTCTCTCTTAGAACTAAGGTGCTGAGTGGTCCCACGGCTTGGCAAAGTGGACGCTCAGAGCACCTGGCAAATGAGGTCCAGAGCTGAACCTCTGCCACAGGCAAACTGTGCCCCCTCTAGGCAACTAATCCCCAACTTGAACCGGCATCCCTCACCCACCTCCAGTAATCCCACCCTGCAATGGTTGCTTCTGGAAGGGAGAGATTTACTTTTCATTGTTTATGTTGTTTTTTTTCTTCCTCAAAAACTATGACTGCGTGTCTCCGTAAACCTTTCAATTCTGCACTACACACACCTATTATCTATCCAGACAACAAATGACATGTAAAAATGCTACCATGCTAGTCTTTCAGAAGGAAGCAACATCTCAAATGCACTTATATACTCTATAACCTCGGCCTCGGGCTTTGGGGAGTCTTTCCCAAGTGTGTGCAAAGGAAACCAGCTCAATGTCACTCAACAGCAGACTGATTAAACAGCTTATGGTTCCATCTGTGGTTTTGGAATTCAATGCACAATGCACTGACAAGGATCTCCAAGACATAGTGAGAAAAAGCAAGTTGCAGAAAAAGTTATGCATAATAGCAGCTAACATGGAGCAACTTCTACTCAAAAGAATGTATTCGTTCAATTCCCACATTAACAGAGGAATGTACTGCTATTACCCCATTTTACAAATGGGGCAATGGAGGCACAAAAAGGTCACCTGCCCAAGGTCACACAGCAAGTGGTATAGTCCGGGCTTAAACCTGACAGTCTGGAAAGATTCACTGTCAAAGGCTGCCAAGAGTGACCTCTGGGAGGTATATATGAAAGTGGATACAGCTAACATATCCAAAAAGCATCTCCCATTTCTCTCCAAAATCCTGAGTTTAGCTAGGAAGTCAGCTGCTCCTGCTATGTGGCCGATGTTGAGCTGCCAGGCCCTATGAGGCAGTGGGGAGGAGTCTTTTCACCCCTATATATGTATAATGCTTGAATGTTTATGAGCTTAAAAACAAAATCTACCTGCCCCTCTGGATCCAGCTGAAGGCCCTCCCTCAACACCTGGGCCATCCGGGCCTGCCTGGTTTTCAGTGGCGACTACTAAGTCTCAGGACCTTGTGAAGGCAAAGCCCTAGTCGCTAACAAGTAGTGGCGACACTAAATAAATGTCCCTAAGTGTCTTGCGTAGAAGTCTTCCCCATCAGCCCACATTCCGTGCCTTACTTGTTGGATCAGGCTGTTCCCTCATCTGCAGTGTGAGCACGACAACAGCATCGACCCCCATAGGGCTGCTGTGAGGATTCAAACAATTAGGCCAAAGTGCAAGTATTCTGAAAGGTACCAGGCAGGTAGTGTGAGTGTGTTAGCTATTATTAAACTCTTTTGACTTGCCAACTCCAACCTAAGCCTCCATTTTTCCATCTGCAAAGGGCAAATAGGACACAACCTCAACAGATACACACACCAAAAAATATGCAAGAAACTGACCAAAAGGGTCTGTGCTGCAAAGGGAAACCACAAAATGTGGGGCTCTGATGGGACCAAGAGCTTTTTACTGTAATTTTTTACCTTTGCGTGTATTATTTATTTTTTGAGTAGTACCTATTCCACTAGAATGTTCTGAGGCTTCAACTTAACAGTTTGGCTACTACACATCATACACAGACAATATTCCACAGACAACATAAGTGGGGTATGGAGTGGAGAAACCTGGCAGCCCCAAAGACAGCCCACTTCCTTTCATTTGGTAATTCTAGCATCCCAAAAGTATTTGTTACCTTCACAGATTAGATCCTCCTTCCCAAGTAGCTACGTATCTCCTGGAGGTATTAGAAACCACAGGATGATCATTGTGCTCTTCCTGGAGACGTGGGGAAATCTATTTCTATGATAATATTAACATGTAATATGGGAGAATATGAAATTTGAAGAAATGAGAATAAAGACAGTTCTTGCCTGGGGCTGGCAGCTTCCAGCACCCACCCCAGATTCCCAAGAGGTCTTTTCCAGATGATTCAATTTCTGCCATGAAAGGTACAGGGGTGGAAAAGTTTGAGAAGCTTCAGAGAAGTTTCTATGATAATTTTGTTTTTATCCATCCAGACCCTCCTGCTCCCCCTTGTGACCAAGGCCCCACACTGCAAAGTAAAAGGGTGTAGTTGGCTCAAAATGTCCAAGGGTGAGATTCATGCATTGATAAAAACACTGCCCTTGGTGCCCCTGGGTTGACATTGATGGGGTCCAGAAAAGGGGCCCCTCCAGAAACACAGTCCTAGCCTCACCTAGGGAGGAGGAGAGGTGAGCAGGAGGGTCGGGGAATAGAGTGCCTCCTCCCTGTGGAGACCCAATTTTTTTTCTTTCCTTTTCTTCTGGAGCAGGACTGAAACAGGAGGAGCGGATTTGTTCAAACTGGCCAGACTCACAGCTCATACAGTTTTACAATAAGGAGAAACCCCAGGACGGTGACGAGAACTAGAGCGTGCTCTGGCTGTCGAGTCAAGACAAACCCGGCATCCTGAACCAATGAAAGCTTTGAGCCCTGCCAGCTGTGGGACTTGAGGCACATTACTTAAGTGTCACTTAACTTTAAAATGAGGCCACTGTCCACTCGGACTCTGCACAGTGCCTGCTGCACAGGGGATCCACACAGAAGGCAGCATCAGTATCACATCTTTTACTTCTTTCCCGTTAATATAATTCTTGTCACTGAGAATAGCCACTTTTGAACTGAATTAGTCAATAGGCAGTTGGAACCAGAAGCTTCTACGCACTCTAGAATTTGAGCAATCTCTTGTTAGATTCCCCAGAAAAACAGTGGCAGGAATGGTGATGGAGGGGAGGAATCCCTGACTCACACTGAAGCATCCAGTGAGATTTCTTTAGGTTAAAAAAGGCCACTGATAGGATCATTCCCTATCACAGGAAGAGGTTTGTAATGTGGGGAAAAAAACAAATCCTAAAGCAAATAACTTTATTTCTATCATTCCTTTTTAAAGAACCAAGGGCATATAGAAAATATAAAAAAAAAACACAAACAGCTGTGACTCGGCGGGGGTAAAGGAAGGACTAACACAGCCCTGGAAAGCAACAGCCTCCAGGACAGTCTGAGTTGCATCAGGAAGGGGCGGGGGGGCTCTGATAAGACAGGCTCCTCCTACGTCCTAGCTTGGGCCCCAAAACATCAGAATCCTCAGGAGGTGGGACCCTGGAATCTGCCTTTTTAAAACAAGTTTTCCCAGTAATGTTCACTTTGCAAGGTCTCACCCTAATGCCCAAGGGAACTTTGGTAACATTTCCTCTCTTCCAAAACCCAGGCTGAAACCCAACTAATCCTGAACTAAAATTCAAGAACAGCACACCAGATGCCACCTGTTGTTTTTCAGGATCTCAAACTCTGGAGGAAATACATTCCGCCTGCCGTCTTTTCCTCTCTGGGGCACCTGTCTGCATTTGGAACTGTGGCTCCGCTAGTGTTTCATCAGGCCCAGCCTTACTCCCCACCTGGAGTCATGCTCTTCTCTGTATGACATCAGGCAGGGAGTAAGTCCAAGGAGGTGGCAAGAGGATCCCAAGCAACAAGGCATGCTGGCTGCTGGCAGGCGTCTCCTGTGGAAGCCCAGAGGGTTGGCGATGCTGTGGCGGCCCCAGGACAGAGGGATGCATCAGAGGGGGAGTTCAGGTGACAGCTGACAAACAGCCTTCACCCAGTGCTGGAAGGGAGACAGCCGGTCCCTATGCCCCTTGCTGAGCAGCTGCTGGTGCTTAGAAGTCACACATCTGTACAAGCTCACTGCTCGCAGGAAATGGTTTGTACTGGTCCAATGGCTCCCCCCCAACCCCCCCGCCTGGAGCTGCCTTCAAGGGGGGAGGGGAGAGGGGAGAGGGCACGTGTGGTCGCGCTGCAGGTCAGCGTCTCCAGGGCTGCCAATCTTGGGTTCACTGGGGGCCGAGGCACTCCACAATCCCACTGCCCTTCATGCCATCAAAAAAGAAGAAGTTGTTGTGAGGAGGGTCCCTTTGAGACAGGGCCTGGGAAGAAAAACAAGACAAGGGTTCAGCTCAGATGCTTTCAAAAGGCTAATATGGAGAAAAATGAAAAAGCCCTCAAAAACCAGATCTTCTAACATTCAGCAGCGGTTCTCAACAGAGGTTGATTCTGCTCCCCAGGGGCTCCGTGGCTATGTCAGAGCCACAACTACGACTGCCCTGTCTCTCTGCGCTGTCCCCGATCACCTGAGCACCTCTGGACAGATCAGTTAGCCTCTCTGAACCCCATTTTCCCCACATAAAATGAAAACAGCACACGTACTGTCCTCGTAGCACTAGGCAGATGCTGTTCCTCAACCATGTGAAACGACGTGTCCTCCCCGCCCCCAGCAGCGCCGTGGGCGAACAGCAGTAGTAACTATTCATGCCGATCCGACTGAGAATGGCGGCGGCCCCGACCCCCTGTGGGACACATACTGCTGCAGACGCGGCTCTTCCGTGAGGAGACACGCTGCCTGCCTTCGTGTGCACGACGGGCCAGGGCTGGGATCCAGAGAGTCTTCGAGATGCTACTTAGCCACGGAAATGGTGATTATCTTGTGGGGTTAACAGAAGCACAGGGCACTTTAACGAAGGGGCCAGACCTCCTGAAATCATGTGGTGAATCGTGTGTGTATATGTGCGTACTAAGAAAGGACTCACAGGTGTCAGTGAGTTTTCTCAGAGGTTCTTAACTCAAAAAGGGTTGCCATTTAAAGACGAGGACATCGTCCAAGCACGCCACTAGGCCAGGTTTAAAGGCTCCCAGGAGCGCCATGCTTGTCATTCATAGGGCGGGACTTCTTTTACAAGGTTAGGAATGCACTCTAAACACCCTGAACTTCTCTTTGAATTGAGCGTCAATCTCAACCTGTTTCTTCCTCTGTAAAATGGGAATAATTATACCTCCTTCAAGTGGTTATTCAGCCATCCGTCCATGGAAAACTTCTAGAGCATCTACTTTGTGCCAGGTATCAGGAGTCTGAGGCACAGTTAAGACAGAGGCCTGCTTCTCTGGGCTTACATGCAAAATGGCAAATCAACTGCACGGGCCTGCTACAGTTTTTGGGGAACATGAGATGCAATCAAGCTTGGAATGCGTCTGGCACATAACAAATTCTCAAAAAGTGGGAGCTGCCATGACTGAGAGGAGCCAGGGATCCCTTGCCACGATCTGAGGACCCCAAGCACTCAGCCAGGTGGAAGGGCCCAAGAGCCCACAGTTAGAACTCCCAGACCCTAGAACCCAAGTTACAGGACATGACACAATGGGACCCAGCAGCGCTGCTGCTGCCACCATCACCGCTACACTGCAGACAGGGAGGCCTAGAGGAGACAAGAGGAGGAGGACTGACACCTACGGAAGCATGACACGACAGGGCATGTGGACGGAATACGTGGTGTTTGGAATGACGGAAGGAAGAAAACAAAGAGGATTCGGAGGGAACAGAGTTACGTTTGCCCTCCGTCTCCTAATGTTTACTCATTATGGATGGTCAGATGGTGCTCAGGAGGGGGGGGGGGTGTCCCGCGACCTTCAGATTGTGGGACCCTGGTGTCAGCTGGCTGAAGGCTGAATCGTGTTAAGTAAGGGGCAGGGGGTGGTGGGGACAAGACACCAGGCCATGGGGTGATAATGGGGCAAAAGGTAAAGTGCTTCCCGAGCAAGATGGGGGTAGGGGGAGATTCCAAACACACCCAGCAACCAAGAATGCAGAGTACTCTGGCTGTCTGGGATAAACAGAAACAAGATGCGGGCAACAGCTGTCCCCAGCAGGCAGGAAGGAGGGGGCTGCATTAGAGGTTAGGACTGGGACACGGAGAAGCCACTGCAAACAATGGGGTCAAGGCCAGCCGCCCCGACTCCTAATCTCCATCCCACATTAAATACCCAGGGAGCAGCTTCTTGGTGAGATGTCCCGAGTGAAGCCGAAGGCACAAAGACAGCGCCCGGCTCCACACAGACAACGTCTGCAGCACGAGGCCGAGCGGCGAAGGGCACAGGCTCAGAGAGCAGACTGCCTGGGCTCAGGTCCTGGCTCCATCACTTCTCTGCACTGCGGCTCCTCCCTTATGAATCAGGGGTGCTCACAACAGTCCTACCTCGTGGGGCTGTTGTGAGGAAAAGACAAGTGTATCCTTGCGTAGGCGTTTCAGTAAGTGTTGCTACCGCTGTTATCACTGTAGGCTACAAAAATGATTTTGTGCCCTTAGGATTCTCCCATCACAGCGCCCCTTCCTCCTGAGTCTGTCCACAGGCGGCCTCAGAATCCTTCACAACACAGTCTCCTGGGCGGCCACAACTGACTTCTCAGATTGGGCATATAAGCTACAATATTCATAGCAGTCTTAACGAAGCAGAAGGCGTGAGCAAGGACACAGGTGTGGCCATCACATCCCTCTCTTCTTCTCCCTCCGAATCTCCCTGAGGCTCGCCCTACTCCTTAGGATATAGAAAGTTGGATTTAGGGAGAGAATTTGGTCCAGAGAAAAGGATCAGGAAAGAAGAGAGAAAAAAAAGAACCTTAAAGATGGTAGGACTATCAAATTGAGTCAAATGTCTCCAGAACAAATTTACTGACTTCAAGACAAAGTAGTGAGACCTGGATCTCCAAATGGTCCCCTTAAGCTCAAACACATCATGTAAATGAGCATGGGAAATCATTTAACTAGGCATGACTCTGCTCCATGAAAGAAAAGGACAAACCATCACTGCAAACCTACTGGAGCAGTCAAGAACCTACAAAAGGCAGATTCAATGTCTCTGGGCAAATATCAAAGTCCCAAAGAAAGTATTTGGGGACATGCTGTAATTCTGACAACCGAAATGTTCCAGAAGAGACTCAAAAGGCTGGCTGTGCTAGTTATGTGGTTACACCACATATTCCAAGTGAAATATTTCCCTTCTGAGAGGGACAATGACACCAAACCTAATGTGGTCACAGGTCACCCTCTATAGAGCCTTGCGGGGCTCCTGGGACAGTACACATGTTCTACTGGTACTGAATGCCCCCTTCTGAACAAATACCCTTGGTGTGTGCATTACAAGAGGAAGCTCTGATACCATGGCCGTGGACAGAGAAAACCGCATGAAGGAGAAGTTAAGGGCACAGGCTGTGGAGGCCATCTCCGGGCCTCAGTGTCCCCCTGCCTTTAAATGGCGATCATGATAGTATGCATTTCACAGAGCTCTGAGAAGCAGACTACATGGCAAGTATCATGAGCACCACGTAACTCATCAGTAGTTAGGACAGGCAGCTCTCTACGGCAGCCATGGGTTCTCTCAGGTGGCACACTGACAAGGCCATGGTGGATCAACGGTCCTCTGCTCCAAAGGGACTCTTTACCTTCACAATTTCCTGGGCCAGGATCCCTCCAACCACTGCACACACTGGGGCCATCTCGGAGAAGCAGTACCTAGAAGAGAAGACAAATGAAATGGAGCCCGGAGGAACAGGAAGGCTGCTGTAGGACATCTGACAAAGGTCAGTAGTGGGCTTGCCTGATGAAAACATCTCCTACCAGGAGGAGTCAATTCAGATAGCAATGCTAATGCTGGCACAAAGGCGTGAAAATGAAATCTGCTCCAGGAGGTTAGTTGGGAAAGACCTCTGAACCTTGCAAGACAGGCAGGAATTGTTTCACAACATTTTTTTTGTTTAAGTTAAAGTAAAGACTATATCTGTGCTTCCTAAAAATAAGGTCCAACAAATATCAGATGTTTCAGTGCCCCGGTCACATTCTCGCAATTCTCTTCTTACCCACAATGGGCAGTGGGTTCTATCTGCTATTCCCAGACAAATGTCAGGGAGAAGGCCTGTGTTAACATGTAGGAGGCAGAGGAAATCTGGGGCCTGAAATGAAGCATGGGGGGCACAAAAAGTCTCTGCTACTCACATAGATACCAACCCTTGTGGGCCAGGATGGGGCATCCAGAGGACAAATCTTAGCTAATACTGTCACCTGCCTCCCCAAATCACCGCTCCTGGGCAGTATAACACTCTTCCACCACTGCCCCAGAGGAAGTGAGCTCTGCCAGTTCCCAACCCTGAACATGGAGGTATTTTTTATTTTTTATATTTTTATAATTATTTTTTATTTTTTTTATTTTTTTAAAGACTTTATTTATTCATTTGAGACACAGAGATAGAGAGAGAGAGAGAGCATGAGCAGGGGGGAGAGGCAGAGGGAGAGGGAGAAGGAGGCTCCCCGCTAAGCCAGGAGACCGATGTGGGGCTCGATCCCAGGACCCTGGGATCATGACCTGAGCTGAAGGCAGACGTTTAACCATCTGAGCCACCCAGGTGCCCCACGAAGGTATTTTTTAAATGAACAAAGTGGAACACAGAGAAGTTAAAGGGAAAGCTTCCCTAAGGAACTCTCCCACCAGAAGACTACCTCCAATCTTCCCAGTGTGGTACACATCCTTCCTAATTTTTTAAAAGTGCACGTATCTAAACATATATAATTTAAAACCCAAGTAATATTAATCATTATTCACTCTGCTCTGTACCCTACTGGTAGATATTTAAGCTGTTCAACACTGCAGGCATACATCCTGGCATAGGTGTCCAGTAATTCCTTTTTTTTAAAAAAAGTATTTTATTTATTTGACAGAGAGAGAGCAGGCGAGTGAGCACAAGCAGGGGGAGAGGCAGGCAGAGGGAGAGGGAGAAGCAGGGCCCCACTGAGCAGAGTGCCTGATGTGGGGCTCCATCCCTGGGATCATGACCTGAGCTGAAGGCAGATGCCCAAGCGACTGAGCCACCCAGGCACCCCGATATCCAATAATTCCTTACGGCAAATTCTTAAATATAGAATTTCTGGGTCCTGACACATTGGGCAAAATGCCCTCCAGAAAAGCATTACCATTTCAACTCCCACCAACTGTGTGTGAAGGTGCCCATCTCCTCACACCGTGGCGGGACCAGCATTCCCATATGTGCAACCACAGAGGTAACTTTTCCTCTGGATTATCAAGTTCCTTTACAGAACTATAAAACAAATAGAAAACTATACCAAAGAAAAACTAGTCACTCATAATCCCACTACTCAAGATAATCAAATGTGGAAATATTTTTCCTTTAAAAAAATATACCTATATTCTGTGCAATCATACTATACAATTTAATATTCTGCTTTTTTCCCCCCCTCTCTTAAAAAGTATATTATCTCAACAAAATGCTAGAGAACCTAACCAGGAACATACAGAAAGAATTATACACCATGACTAAGTGGGATTTACAACCAGGAATGCAAGGTTGGTGTAATATCTGAACAATCAATCAATGTAGTATTGCCATATGACACAAATAAAGGTACCATAAACATGATCATCTAAACTGACAGAGAAAAAAAAAAGCATGTGACAAAATCCAGCACCTCTTCATGATAAAAACACTCAACAAACTGGGAACATAGGGAAATTTCTTCAACCCGATAAAGGGCATCTATAAAAAATCCACAGCTAACACCATACTTAATGGTGAAAGACTGAAAGCTTTCTTCCTAAGATAAGGAGTAAGACAAGGATGTCTGCTCTCACCACTTCTATTTGACATTGTACTAGGGGTTCTAGCCAAAGCAATTAAGGAAGGAAAAATAAACAAGACTGCCAGATTGGAAAGGAAAAAATAACATATATTCACAGATAACATGACCTAGTATATAGAAAATACTAAGGAATCCACAGAAAAATTATTCAAACTATTAAATTTATTCAGCAGGGCTGCAGGACACAAGATTAATATACAAAAATTAATTGCATTTCTATACATTAGCAATGAACATTCTGAAAATGAAATTAAGACCTCCATTTACAATACCACCCAAAAGAATAAAATACATAGGAATAATTTAACAATTGTGTAAAACTAGGGCACCTGGGTGGCTCAGATGGTTAAGCGTCTGCCTTCGGCTCAGGTCATGATCCCAGGGTCCTGGGATCGAGTCCCGCATCAGGCTCCCTGCTCCTTGGGAGCCTGCTTCTCCCTCTGCCTCTCTCTCGCTCTCTCTGTCTCTCATGAATAAATAAATAAAATCTTAAAAAAAAAAAACAAAACAATTGTGTAAAACTAATATTCTGTAGACAAAACATCGTTAAAAAAATAAAAGATGTAAATAAATGGAAAGATACCCCATGTTTGCAGATCAGTACACTTAACACCGTTAAGGTGGCAATACTCCCCAAATTTAATCTATATATTTGGCATATAATCCCAATCAAAATTCTTGCTGCCTTTTTTGTAGAAATGCAAATTTCTACATCCTAAAAATTCATCTGGGAAGGCAAGAGACCCAGACTAGTCAAAAGAATCCTTCCTCAGAAAGGAAAAAGTTGAAGAACTCACATCCCAATTTTACAATTTACTACTACAGTTGCTGATACTGCTACAAAACAACATAATCAAGATACTGTGGTACTTGAATCTATATGGACACACATATATATCAGTGAAATAGAAATGAGAATCCAGAACTAAAGAAATACATATATGGTCAATTGATTTTTGACAAGGGTAACAAGACCATTCAATGAAGAAGGCCTTTTTTTTTTTTTTTAAACAAACAATACTGGACAATTGGGTCTCCACATGCAAAAGAATTAAGCTGAACCCCTACCTCACACCATGCACAAAAGATGACTCAAAAATGGCTCACAGACCTAAATGTAATAGCTAAAACTACAAAACAGAGCAATAAAACTTCATGACCTTGGATTAGGCAACGGTTTCTTAAATACTATCCTAGGAAAAGTACATGTGAAAAAAGAAAAAAAACAGATAAACCGTATTTCACAAAAATTAAAAACTTGCACTTCAAAGGATACTTTTCACTTCAAAGAGTGAAAAGACAACCCATGGAATAGGAGAAAAATTTTATGAATCATGTATCTGATGAACGACTTGTATTGAGACCCTACATAGAACTTTTTTTTTTTTTAAAAGATTATTTACTTGGGCGCCTGGGTGGCTCAGTTGGTTAAGCGACTGCCTTCGGCTCAGGTCCATGATCCTGGAGTCCCGGGATCGAGTCCCGCATCGGGCTTCCTGCTCGGCAGGGAGTCTGCTTCTCCCTCTGACCCTCTTCCCTCTCGTGCTCTCTATCTCGCATTCTCTCTCTCTCAAATAAATAAATAAAATCTTAAAAAAAAAAAAAAAGAACTAAAGATTATTTACTTATTTGAGTGAGAGATAGAGCAAGAGTGAGAGTGAGCATGAGCAGGGAGGAGGAGCAGAGGGAGAAGCAGACTCCCCGATGAGCAGGGAGCCCAATGTGGGGCTCCATCCCAGGACCCTGGGATCACGACCTGAGGCAAAGGCAGACACTTAACGGACTGAGCCACCCAGGAGCCCCTGGACCACTTTCTAATACCATAAACAAAAATAAATTCAAAATGGATGAAAGGCCTAAACGTGAGAGAGGAAACCATCAAAATCCTAGAGGAGAACACAGGCAGAAACCTCTCTGACCTCAGCCACAGCAACTTCTTACTAGATACTTGCCAGAGGCAAAGGAAACAAAAGCAAAAATACTGGGACTCCTTCAAGATAAAAAGCTTCTGCACAGCGAAGGAAACAACAAAATTAAAAGGCAGCCTATGGAATGGGAGAAGATATTTGCCAATGACACATCCAAAAAAGGGTTAGTATCCAAAATCTATAAAGAACTTACACCAAACTCAACATCCCCCCCCCCAAAAAAAAGAATCCAGTTAAGAAATGGGGCAGAAGACATGAATAGACACTTTTCCAAAGACGTCCAGTTGGCCAACAGACACATGAAAAGATGCTCAACATCACTCATCATTAGGGAAATACAAATCAAAACCACGATGAGATACCACCTCACCACACCTGTCAGAATGGCTAAAATTAACAGAAGAAACAATGGGTGTTGGTGAGGATTTGAAGAAAGGGGAACCCTCTTGCCCTGTTGGTGGGAATGCAAACTGGTACAGCCACTGTGGAGAAGAGTTTGGAGGTTTCAAAAAGTTAAAAATAGAACTACCCTTTGATCTAGTAATTGTACCACTAGGTATTTACCCAAAGGATACAAAAATACAGATTTGAAGGGGTACATGCACCCTGATGCTTATAGTATTATCAACAATAGCCAAACTATGGAGAGAGCCCAAACGTCCATCAACTGATGATGGGTAAAGAAGATGTGGTATACACACACACACACCACGGAATATTATTCAGCCATCAAAAAGAATGTATCTTGCCATATGCAATGACATGGACAGAGCTAGAGTATATTCTGCTAAGTGAAATAAGTCAGCCAGAGAAAGACAAATACCATATGATCTCACTCATATGTGGAAATTTTTTTTCCCAAAGATTTTATTTATTTATTTGACAGAGAGAGACACAGCAAAAGAAGGAACACAAGCAGGGGGAGTGTGAGAGGAG